CAGGGCCGGCGGGCGAGCGTGGAGGTGAGCGGGGCGAGCGGGGCGCTGGTGGTGAGCTCGCGGCTGGACCGGGAGGAGCTGTGCGGGAAGAGCGCGCCGTGCTTGCTGCGGCTGGAGGTGCTGGTGGAGCGTCCGCTGCGCGTCTTCCACGTGGAGCTGGAGGTCACGGACATCAACGACAATGCCCCCCTCTTCCCCGCCGCCCGAAAAAACATTAGCATCCCGGAATCGTCCGTGGTGGGGTCTCGTTTTCCATTGGAGGGCGCATCGGATGCAGATATCGGAGCGAACGCTCAGCTCTCCTACACACTCAGCCCCAGCGAGCACTTCTCTCTGGATTTACAAAAATCTAATGAGCGAAATATTGAACCCGAACTTGTTTTAACGAAATCTCTGGACCGGGAGACGATTCCCGTGCACCGGCTGTTGCTGACAGCGAGTGACGGGGGCCGACCGTCTCTGACGGGGACGATGGAGCTGGTGATCTCGGTGCTGGATGCAAACGACAATGCACCCCAGTTTAACCAGTCGGTGTATAAAGTGCAGCTGCCGGAGAGCGCTGCAGAGGGTATGCTGGTGACGCGGGTGAACGCCACGGATCCCGATGTAGGAAGCAATAGTGAGCTGAGCTACACTGTGACGAACTTCTTTCCGCCAAGTAGCAAAGATGTGATTTCCATCAATCCGAAGACCGGGGAGATTCACCTCACGGGAAACCTGGACTTCGAAGAAGTCAACATATTTGATTTTCGCATAGAAGTGAGAGACCAAGGGACACCTCCGTTGTCGGGCCACTGCAAGGTGGTGTTGGAAGTGCTGGACGTGAACGACAACGCGCCAGAGGTGTTGGTGACGTCGCTGTCGGTGCCGGTGCCCGAGGACGCGTCGGTGGGGACGGTGGTGGCTGTGCTGAGCGTGGCGGACCGGGACTCGGGGGCGAACGGTCGTGTGCGGTGCTGGGTGTGGCCGTCGGGTCCGTTCGGTCTGGAGGCGACGTTCTCGGGGTCGTACTCGCTGGTGCTGCGGGAGGCGCTGGACCGGGAGCGGGTGTCGGAGTACGAGGTGGAGGTGCGTGCGGAGGACGGCGGGTCGCCGTCGCTGCGCGGCAGGCTCGGGGT